TTTACTTGAATGATAAACATGAACAATAAGTAACAAGATATTTTTAGAGTAGCACCTGGCTCCACTATAAAAAAGAGACCATCGGGGTGCCTGGGTGGCTCAGTGGGTTGGGCCTCTGCCTTCGGCTCAGGTCGTGATCTCAGGGTTCTGGGATTGAGCCCCGCGTCGGACTCTCTGCTTGGCAGAGAGCCTGCTTCCTCCTCTCTCTCTGCCTGCCTCTCTGCCTGCTTGTGATCTCTCTCTCTGTCTGTCAAATAAATAAATAAAATCTTAAAAAAAAAAAAAAAAGAGAGACCATCAGAAAGGTCCATTCCTGGGGCTACTCGTCTGTGCTTCCCTGAAGTGATCTATGCCTGTTGCTCCCTAATTGGCCCTGGTTCCAGGACTAAGGGTGTTAGTATTAGCTGGGAACCGTTAGACATGCAATTTTTGGGACCCTAATCCAGACCAGTTGAATCAGCAACTCAGAGTGTGGGGGTCTAGCAGTGTGCGTTTTAACAAAGTCCTGATGCACACTAAGTTGGAGAACCATTGCCAAGACCGTGTCGTCTCAGAGCAAGGCGATAGCAAGCAGACATCAAAAGACAATTTGCTGCATGTATCTTGCCAGCTTTTCTGATCTCCTGTTCCCTGCACCCCCAACTCCATCAAGGGCTGATGTGGATTCCAAAAAGAAAATAGATGTCTCAGCTTTTGCTCTGTGCAATCCAATGTCGTCAGCCACAAAGAGATCTCATACAAAAGTTAACTATTTCAGTGATCAAGATTGTAGTCTGTGGAGTCAAGTTCCCTGGTTTCAAATACTGGCTCCATTCTTTACCAGCAGTTTCTCATCTCCTCCATCCCTTATTTTCCCCCATTTATATTTACCTCAGGAGGTCATTGAGATGATTAAAATATTAAATGTTCAGCATATGATAAGCAATTCATAAATGATGCTATTATGTCATGACATTTTTCTATCCTAGGCCATATTTTGGTACAATGCCCATCAAGGTGGGCATTGATTCAGGTGAATAATTATGTGGTATTAGGTTTTAGGAAAGGTAAGAAGAAAAAAATATTGAATTCACAGCCTGCCTTCCTATTTACCATGTCGACAGCATTAATGAAGTAATGTTTATACAACACAGAGTAATTTTAAGATATCCCCATAAGCTCAGGATACATTTGTAATGAGAGCCTCTGTTTACCATTTTAAAGCCGTACACTTCTAGGCCTCCAGCTATAAGGGATCCTATTAATTGGAGGTGGTGGTGAGGGTTTAAGTTTGAATTCCTGCTGCTTCTCATTTAATTCTTTTTTTTTTTTTAAAGATTTTATTTATTTATTTGACAGAGAGATCACAAGCAGGCAGAGAGAGAGGAGGAAGCAGGCTCCCCTAGAGAGCAGAGAGCCCGATGCGGGGCTCGATCCCAGGACTCTGAGATCATGACCTGAGCCGAAGGCAGCGGCTTAACCCACTGAGCCACCCAGGCGCCCCTCATTTAATTCATTTATAACAAACTGCGTAAGAGCTATAGCACAGCTCAGCACATTGTATCTGAAAAACAACCAAGCTTGTTTCCCCCTCTCCTAATGTAACTAGCAGTGCTAACCTCATGAATGTGAAACTATTAAAAGTTTTGTCCAACAGAATCAAGCTAAACTTTTAAGGTCAGGCATTTCCTTATAATTTTGCATGGCATTGTTATAAAACATTATTTCCAGGTGAACATGTTAATGACCATCTGATTATGGGTTTAAAACAACCCACGTTAATTTTAAGATGGACATTAAAACGGACTTGATTTCCTGGTAGACTTTATATACTTTTAGGCCTGTCAGTACTGTTGGCTTATTCCAGTTATAAAGTGGGTAAATAGTCTAGACCTTTAAAGACCCTTCCAGTATTGAAATCTTTAATTTCAAGTTAAATGTAGCAGAAACAGAAAAAAAAAATTTATTTCCACTAAAATATTCCCATTTTAATAGTGTATGAGGATGGCAGTCTTTGTGTTTTTTTAAATATTTTAATTGCCAGAGAAAGCTTAAGCATGCACAAGCAGGCAGAGAGGCAGAGGGAGACGAAGAAGCAGGCTGCCCTCCATGTGGGGAGCCCGATGTGGGGCTCAATCCCAGGGCCCTCGGATCATGACCTGAGCCAAACACAGACACCTAACATACTGACCCACCCAGGGGCCCTGATGGCAACTTTTTTAAACGCGTAAGACTGTAAGAACCTTCTATTTTCGTACATATTCAAAAGACGTCTGGGCTTTAAGTGTATTCCTATTAGGGTTCAGTTCAGGTCTCCTTTGAATCTGATTGTAGGTGTGGTATAATTAATATATATATATATATAGTATTCAGTCTTATTCTTGGCACAGAGCTCTTAAAATCCTTGGAATTTCCTGAGGACACTTGTCATAAGCTTTTTGCCCATACCTGAGTTTATGCTCATGAGGTGATCTTGACACTGGTCACCAGAACCAACCACATAATCAAAGGGCTAGATTGATCAGCCACACCCCGGAGAGGTGTGGAGATACTGGAGAGTGAGTTCGATAATCAATTACCAATGATGTAATCAAGCACATCTAGGTAATGAAACTTTAGTAAACAAGGTTAAGGGGTTAAGAGAGCTTCCAGGTTGGTGAACACATCCATGTGCAGGAGGGTAGAGCATTAGGAGGTCATGGAAGCTCTGCCCACCTCCCCATTCAGCTCCCCTTTTCCCCCAGACAGCTCTTCTATTTCACTGTTCCTGGGTGGTTTTTTGCTTTTTAAGAGATTTTTTAAGTAATCCCTACACCCAACATGGGGCTAGAATTTAAAACCCAGAGAAGAGTTGAATGCTCTACCAACTAAGCCAGCCAGGAGCCCCTGCTTGTATCCTTTGTAATAAAACTATACTCATAAACGTAGTGCTTTCCTCATCTTGGAGCTGTTCTAGTGTATTAAACCTGACAAGGGTGGGAAACCCTCATTTGTAGTTGGCAGGGCAGAAGTGCAGGTATCCTGGATACCTCATTTTTGGCTTATCTTGTGGTACTGATCACTTAACTTATGGAGTCTATGCTAATGCTGGCTGGTGTCCGAAGAAACTTGATGGGACCCCCAGGTGGTGGTAGAGAATAAAAGTACTACTGTCTGTAGGAACAGCGGAGTAGGGTAGACGGAAGAGGCTCTCCATTCTGCAGTGCATGTGGGATTCCCGTGAAAACCAGTGCCTGGCATTCTTAAGGCCCAGCTGTCACTGTAAGTAGACCTAAAATCCCCACTAGGAGTAAAATGGGAGGAATAAAACATTCAGTTCAGTACTTAAATATACATCACGGTTTTTCACAGTTGTTTTACTCTATGTAAAATGTCTTTTGCAAACTGCAAAGTGCTAATCAACATAAGGTTTATCACCAGTAGGTAGCTTTCCTCTCTTGCAATGAAATTCACCGGCATTCAGGGTACGGCCTTTGTACCTTTTGGGGAAAGTAAAATAAACCATACCTGTCCCTCAAACCTCTTTTGAAAGGCCTTGCCAAATCTGAAAACTCAAGTGTTAACACCTTGTTGTGCCTCTGTCCCTGATCTCTACCTTGTGGTCAGAGCTCTTGAAAGACCATGTTTCAAAATAAACCTCACTTCATACCTTGGCTTAAAGGGTACATCATGAGCTATTTTCAGCGTTCAAAATTCACTAGATACTAACTAGTAATTTACATACTTAAAACCACTATCAGGGACTTTTTTTCTTTTCAAACTACAATTAACTCAGGGACATGGACATCTTATGGCAAACTGAAAATTCCATGTAATATAATTTAACTCGACCTTTCTGACTTCAAAGAAAAAAAATATATATATAAACACCCAACGGCCAAGCAGAACAGACCTAGAAATGTGCATACAATTTTTTGATCTTAAAAACTCAACTTTCTATTCCTATTATCTCTAAATCTGTGACCTCTCCAGTTGTGGGAAGCCATTCTCTTTCAAATAGTTCATAAATGTGATACCACTTAAAATTAGGATTACCAGGGGCGCCTGGGTGGCTCAGCGGGTTAAAGCCTCTGCCTTCGGCTCAGGTCATGATCCCAGGGTCCTGGGATCGAGCCCCACATCGGGCTCTCTGTGAAGCAGGGAGCCTGCTTCCCTTCCTCTCTCTCTGCCTGCCTCTCTGTCTACTTGTGATCTCTGTCTAATAAATAAAATAAAATCTTAAAAAAAAAAAATTAAAAAAAAAAAAAATATTAGGATTACCAGATGAGGATAAGTTGAGTTGATCTTTTAAATTATCATACTAGGGGACGCCTGGGTGGCTCAGTGGGTTAAGCCGCTGCCTTCGGCTCAGGTCATGATCCCAGCGTCCTGGGATCGAGTCCCACATCAGGCTCCTTGCTCAGCAGGGAGCCTGCTTCTCCCTCTGCCTCTGCCTGCCACTCTATCTGCTTGTGCTCACTCTCGCGCTCTCTCTCCAAAAAAAAAAAAAAAAAAAAATTATCATACTAGGGGGCGCCTGGGTGGCTCAGTGGGTTAAAGCCTCTGCCTTTGGCTCAGGTCATGATCCTAGGGTCCTGGGATCGAGCCCCACATCCCCAGCTCTCTGCTCAGCAGGGAGCCTGCTTCCCCTCCTTCTCTCTCTGTCTGCCTCTCTGCCTGTTTGTGATCTCTGTCAAATAAATAAATAAAAATCTTAAAAAATAAATAAATAAAATACATTACCATACTAGTAGTAAGTGGGAAAAGTATATTAAAAATAGGCTATATTTAGAAAATTCCATTGGCTGTTTGCCCTTCCATGGAAAAACTGCAAATGCCAACCTCTGCCTCCTTCCATTCTTCTGAATTGATTTTTGGGGATTAGAGGTGCATATTGAGAATTATATTAGTTCATGTATCAGTAATGTTAATACAAATAAGATCTCTGACCACAAACCAACCTCTACACTTGTAACCAAAAGGGGGAAAAAAAAAAGAGTCATGAACACATAATTTTAAGCTTTACTTTAAAAATGTAAATATCTCCCAATATTTAACAGGTAAAGAAAATAGCATATTGGTTTATTTTATGTGGTTGTTATATTTTATTTTCCAAGTAATACTGATTAAAAATATTTACACACCTACTTTTAAGTCCACAGTTTAGCACTCTTATTTGTATGGCTTTAAAAGTTATAGCACAAGATCTTTACATTAAGGATCAGGGGAAAAAGATTCATTCAAAACAAAGCCTGATATATTATATACATGTTTTTCTCTGTACTTTATTTTAAATACATTAATTTTTAAATGATGCTCATCTTTTTTTCATCTGGTGGTAAAATATTAGTGCACTTTTCATCAAAAAAAAAAAAAAAAAAAAAAAGGTTTACCACAGATATAAATGAATTTTCCCAATTGGAAATGGCCCTTCAGTTGCCATTAAATGAAACTTCTCAACCTAACTTAAGTTACCAAGAAAAAGAATTGGTAGTTGCCATTATAAGCAAAAACATAAACTACTACAGCATCACCTACGTTGCTCCTTACAACACAAACTTTGAAAGAACCAGAGACACTTTATAGAAGTTTTGTTGGTTTTGAAAAGGCACATGGGTGTGGTTGTTTTTTACATTCTAGAAATTTTGCCACCACCACTCTGTTCCTGTTGCAGAGATGACATCCGTGACTACCAGTAAAGACAAGAAGGTTGTTCAAACTAAAGCAAGCCAGAAGCCAAAAATTTAACTGCACAGTAACAATGTACTTTTCTTCATGCAGCCTTGTGTTTCCTATATATTCAATTTTCTAACATGCATTAGAATACATAAATTTGTATTCTAATGATTTTACGTTTGATTTTACAACATGGAAAAAATCTAAGAAAGGACGTGACCTGGGAAAGAGAGAAGGGAGAACCCTTACCACAATGAAAATAGATACATTCGTACCCAACTATATAGTAAGAATATAATCCATTTAAGTTTCCAGAAATAATACTTCTCAAAGCTTCCCATTCACTTATGGGAAAGATATCTCCTCTGTGGCATTAAGTGGGGGGGGAATCTGTTTCAACAGAAACAGTTCACAACAGGAAAGACTTTAACTTTGGTCCACTTGTCTGTTAGCCCAAGGACAGTCACACTGCCCAACATCAGTTCAAAAACCCAACACATAAATTTAAAAATATATTCATTTGTTATTTCATTCTAAAACAGGCATAGGTGTTCTGTTCTCATTCCCTGCCCTTTCAGCTTGGGAATCCACTGTTGATTTGGTCTCTAAACCATCAGCATCTTCGTGATCTTCCCTGGCAGTCTCAGCACAATCTGCTTGGGTGGGCTCTCTCTCCTCCTGGTTCATGATTTCAGGAGTCACTTGTTCCAAGTCGGCTTCTAGAAGTTCAGTCTGTACTTCTACTGGCATCTGATTTACCCGCTCGACATGCAGCTCCTCCACGTGTACTTCAGTACCTTCTTCAGTCTGAATTCGACCCACTTCTAGATAACTCACCTGGACCTGCTCTGGAAGATCGCTCATATGTGAATCATGCACTTGGCTGTCCTGGAGCAGATCAGGATGGACCTGTTCCACAGTCACTTGTGCTGAATCCACCTGAACCTGAAGCAATGGTAACACATGCACCTTCCCAACTTGTTCTATAATAGTCATTGACGTCACAGGTTCAGTCTGCACACGTGTTTCTACTGAAAGAACTTCTTCAGTTACTAGACGCTCTGAAATATTGTGAGTATCACTGAGATGCCTCCTTAATTCATTTCCTTGCATAAACCACAAGTCACATAAAGTACAATGGTTGGGTTTATCTCCAGTGTGTATTACCAAATGATCTTTGAACTGGTCCCAGCTGTTAAACACACTGTTACAGACCTGCAATAACCAAACATATGGTTTTAACAATACTAATATTCAAGCTGAAGAAAACATGAATGTATTTATTCTCTTTAAGGAAAAATTTGAATTTTTCTGAAAAATATGATATAATATAATATAATGTGGTCTAAGATTTCATAACTGTTTTCTTTATTGGATCTTTTAGCTGATGTAGTTAACAACTGAAATACACTTTGGGAAACATTTTAACACTGCCTTCATTGCTTAAATGTCATATAAATTCAAAGAATATAAAGTACCAATACTATAATTTCTCCCATAATATCATTACTATAAGAACAATTACATTATTTGGGTTATATACATACTAATCATGGAAGAGCTGATCACAGCTTGTCAGCCCCCCACTGCCTCATTCCCAAATTCTAGTAATTGCTCAATGGTTAAGAATAACCACAGTTTCAGATTATTTATTATTTAGGACATAATTTTACTGACATTGGTGTCATCTTGGATTGAGTAAAAAAAACCAACACCCTAATCTTCGTTCTAAAGTCAAGACAGTGATGTTCTTTACTCTCATTCTTTCCAAACTATCAGCCCTATACTTTTACTCTATACTCTGCTACCCTTTACTTTTAATGATTTAAAACACAGACCATTCCTTTGCTAAGGAGAGAATACACCACACATACCTGACATTCATAAAGCTTCTTTCTTCCCTTTTTTGCCCCTACTCCAGTCTGGCATGCAGTCAGATGACATTTGAGGGTGCTATTTCTAGCAAATCGTTCATGACAATTTGGACATTCAAAAGGTTTTTCACCTATTACAATAGAAAAAAATTATATTGACAAATGAGGAAAAATAGAAAAAGCAAATAAATTTTTTTCCTTTTGGTTAATTCTAAATAGAACCTTCTTGAAAGAAGATCTGAATTTATAATTCAGATGTTTCCACCACATCCAAAAGACTCTTCTAGAGGTGGAAATAGTTGTATTTGTGCTTACAACTGTTGTATTTGTGTTATAATTGTATTTGTGCTTTGAAGAAGAAATAAAATTTGGATCTGAGTTCTGTTTCATGTTTTCACTATTCTTAAAAAGCTGTTTATTTTTCCTTAGGTTAAAACCAAGATCAATCTCTCTTTTTGGGAAATGCACCCACAAGCATTTTTTGAGCACTTATTATGTGCCAGACCCATGTGCTAGGTGATGAAGATAAATAAACTCCTTTTTAAAAACTCTGTATCACAGGCCAGAGTGTTTTACGAAGGTAAATACATAGAAATGAGCACCTGAGATGTATCACGGAAGGCCTGTTTCAGAAAAAAGGGCAATGGAAAATGTACTGCAGCAGCACGAAAGAAGGAGTACTGTGCCTGAAATGAAGAAGAGAAGAAGGAAGTTTATTCTAGGCAGAAGCATAGAAGTATAAAATAAGATGATGGGTGAAGAGTAAGGAGGAAACGTATCAGTAACGACTCCCAGATCTCTGGCTTAGAATAACAACCGCATTAAAGAACACAGAAATCCAAGTAGGTTTGGAGTGCAGTGTGTTAGGCAAGATGATAGTTTCGTCTGTTGATTTGAAGGTACTCAAAGTGGAATAGTCTGGTAACAGCTATATACGGACTAATCTGAATCCAAATAGAGGGTGGACTGATACACAGATTAGCAGTTACTTTAGGTGGTAATAAAAACCTCGGATGTGTTGTGTGATAGAAGAATCAAGGACAGAACTCAATGAAATACCAAGTTAAAACACAGGTAAATGAGGCAGCAGATAACAGAATCAGAACAGTCAGAAGCAGAAGAAAGAACACTGAGGGAAATTAAGAAACTTCAGGAAGATGAGGCCAGTAAACAGTGTCAAACTGAACAGAGATGTCAGGTAGGACAACAACAAGGGATTGTACTAACTCAAGTGAGAACAGTGTTGAGTGATATGATGGTGGGGTTAGAAGCCAGATTACCATGGAATGAGAGGCAAGTCAATGAAAATAGTACAGAAGTTCTTCCCAAAAAGGCTTGGAAGTAAAGAGAATGGATGGTTTTGACAGATGACACATATATGTCATCTGCTGAGGCAGGGTGTGGGCAGGGTCCTGAGTATTGGACTGAAGGTCTAGAATAGCAATTTGGCAAAGAAAAATACAAATCAGGAACCAAAAGGCCTAATTTAAGGTCTGATATGATTTTTTTCCAGAAGTCCTCAGTGAGGAGTAGAGAGTGTCAAATGACTGCAATAATTCCAGGATTTTTTTAAAGGGTTTTTTAGAGCAAGTGGGTTGAAAAACCAAGGGAATTATGCTTAGCATGCAAGAAAAAGTGATTCAAGCTGTATACAAGGACAAGATAAGATAGGTCAGAAATTGGGGCGATAAGGTAGGTGGAGAGCGATGTGGAAGGACTAGCAGGCTACCTGAAGTAGACTCAGAATAAGGGAAGGAGGAGGTTTCAAGGGAGAGCATGATGCAGAGAACAGGCCCCAGTGATGAGGTCCTAGTTGTGACCTCCACACTAGTTAAGTAATTTTGAGTTGTATTTCTTCTTTAAGATTTTATTTGTCAGAGAGAGAGTGCACGCACAAGCGGGGGAACAACAGGAAGAGGGAGAAGCAGGCTCCCCACCAAGCAAGGAGCCTGATGCGGGACATGATCCCAGGGCACTGGGATTACAAGCTGAGCTGAAGGCAGCCATTCAACTGACTGAGCCACCCAGGCATCCTGTGTTTTTTCCCTGACCAAAAAAACTAGTTTATTCTTTGTATAATGTTCATGAGATGAAAAAAAATTAGACCTTAGAGTCTAGAATTAGTGTTGGTCCAGAAACTCCTTTTCAACTTGTCAAATATTGGGAGATAACTGCTCAATAAAAAAGTTAAGTTTTGTGATTTTTAATAGTGTATAATTTTTCACTATAAATATAAGTTGGTATAGCTTCTTTAAATGATAATTTCATGATATATACCAAGATTTAAAATGTATATATTCTTTAACTTGGCAATTCTGCTATTGGACACATACAGAAAGATATAAGCACAAGTATGCCTACTACAGCATAGTCTACAATAGCAAAAGACTAGCAACAATCTAAATGTGTATTAACATAGGTAAATCACAGCACACCCATACACTGAAACACCAGGCAGCCACAGGGCGAGGAGGGGGGGGAACCAAAACAAGTATAGATTCCTGCATTTTCATTTAAAGAGTTTGAGAGAAAGGTCATGACACTGTACTGCATGTCTCTATTTATTTTCCCCAAAAAACTTGTGTGTTCATCTGTGGTGACTCAAAAATGCAAAGAACAGACAGGGAAGGATAAGTAAGACAATGATGGCAATAGTTGCTTCTGGAGAGATCTACTAAATCTCTCTCTACTGATCATCGCATGTCATTTCAGCTTTTGTCATTTGAGCTTTTGCTATTTAAAAAATTAGTAAGTCCAATAAAATCTAGAAATATCAACAGATTCTGTTCTAGATGTGTAGACAGCACAGTCTTCAAAGTGCTTTTACCGTTTTATTTTACTGGCCATTTCCCTGTAAAGTAGGTATCATTACCCATATTTACACAGATGAGGAAAGAGGCCCGAAGATAAAGTGACCAGTCAAGTTAATCAGACTGGCAAATGTCAGAACTAGAGCTGGAATCTAATTCTGATTTCCAGACCCACATTCTTTCTATAATTCCATACGTCCTCTCTGGGAAACAAGTAACATTTGAAGACATGGTTCTCCTCTTCAGGTTCTCTCTCATACTAGGTGTTCCACAGGCAAATCCGTCAATATGTCTGGCACCACCTCCCACCCTAAAGTGCTTACCCTTCTATATTTTTCTAAGTTAATTAACCTCCAATCCTGTAAGGCACCCAAACCAGAAAGCTGGGATTTATTCCCATATTTCACTGGTCACCAAATCCTGTTGATTCTGTCTACTTAATGTTATTCACATCTCTAACCCTCTTCCACTATCACTGCCTTTACTCCACTCTTCATTCTTGATTAAATGTTCCAACAGCTTCCTAATTATACCTTGAAGGTTTAACCCCACTCCAATCTATCCTGTCAAGTCATCACTCTCAAACATAAATCTAATCCTGGTTTAAACTTCTTTAAATGACTCAATCTTTCAAGATAAAATCCAAATTCATTTACGGCATTTATGAAAATAACTATATGATCTTGGCTTCATCTTCCATCACTTTCTCTCCCCTGCCCTTGTCCACGATGCCTAAGTGTGCGCCACCTGGTCAGCCTTCCTAACTCTTCCAGCTATGTCTCCTGTCATTCCTTCACCTGGACCCAATCCTCCAGTTGTAATAACCTATTAGCAGTGCTCCAAACACACGGTTATCTCTCTTTCCTCTGTACCTGTGCATGCTTCATTTCTTGTGCCTGGAATGCCCATCTCCTGGCTAACTCCTTTTCCTTTGGGAGTCATTATAGGGTGAATGCTCTAGGAAACCAACCTTGTCTCATCCATCATAAATAAACAACCCAGGCAGGCATTCCCATAAGACGGTGTGCTGACTTCTACCAGCCCTTAGCCTGTCACATTTAACGGTGTCTGCTTGTCTCCCCAAACATAAGGGTAAGCTCTTTGAAGGCAGGGACTCTAACATTTATCTCCACGACCAAGTAGGTTGGCATTACTATTTCCCAAATGGAAACAAAATAATTCAGAAGACAAGTAACAACCAAAACTTTGCAAATCAGGGGCACCCGGGTGACTTAGTCATTAAGCGTCTCTGTTAAGCAGGAAGCCTGCTTTTTTTCTCCCACTCCCCCAGCTTGTGTTCCTGCTCTCACTGTATATCTCTTGAGGTCAAATAAATAAATAAAATCTTAAAAAAAATTTTTTTTGCAAATCAAGCTTTAAGACTACTGAAGAAACCAAAGCACTAAACTAGTAAAAGTATGCAAACTATGAAACTGAGGGGGATTTATGTATATTTTGAGGATAGGAAACAGGAATGGGATTGTTTCCTCATCTTTACACTGGGATCGCTAAGCAAGAAATGGTCCATTCTTTATTAACATAAGCACAATTTACAACTATTTACTTATACTCCTCTTGAATTCAAGTCACTGATCATATCTGCAACTATCTTGTTACTAATTACTAGTACAGTTAATTGAGGTTAAATGCCAACAAAAGTTCAGCTTGCTTTATGTGTTGAACTGTTTTCCCAATGGACATGTAGTTCTATATTTTGTAACAACTACTTAAGTTATCTCACATAATTATAAAGATAAAGACATACAACATAATATGCTTTAGCTCTAAATTCTGCTGTTTAATCCAAAATACAAAGGATAGGATGTGGAAAGCATATTTTAAAACTTCTAAAATAATCTGTGTTGCCTGTTTTTCAGTAGGTAAGTCACCAGGTAATGTTTTGGGTAAAGAGAAAATTGCTTCTACTTTTACATTACTAGAAGATAAAGGTGACTGACACCTGTTGGGATACTGGAAACCCTTATCAAAGGATACTAGGGGTGCCTGGGTGGCTCAGTGGTTTAAAGCCTCTGCCTTCAGCTCAGGTCATGATCTCAGGGTCCTGGGA